AATACTACCTACACTGGACGACCACGTTTGAGATATCTTTTTCAGGTAGTTCAGACACAAACCACGACAGCTTATTGTAGAATACTACCTACACTGGACCACCACGTTTGAGATATCTTTTTCAGGTAGTTCAGACACAAACCACAACAGCTCATTGTAGAATACTACCTACACTGGACCACCACATTTGAGATATCTTTTTCAGGTAGTTCAGACACAAACCACGACAGCTTATTGTAGAATACTACCTACACTGGACCACCACGTTTGAGATATCTTTTTCAGGTAGTTCAGACACAAACCACAACAGCTCATTGTAGAATACTACCTACACTGGACCACCACATTTGAGATATCTTTTTCAGGTAGTTCAGACACAAACCACAACAGCTTATTGTAGAGTACTAATTACACCAAACCTCCACATTTGAAATATATTTTCCAGGTAGAAATATCTTTTCCAGGTAGTTAGTAAAGATGTATTTTTGCTGTTTTACAGCATATTCTTTCAAATTTAAATTTCGTAAAAAAGTTTACAAAGGTACAAAACTTTTTTCCAATTTTAACTGGAAATAAACCTGCAGTTTCATGAATTAGTAGCTCAACCGTGAAGCAAAGTTTGAAAGGCATATATAAACACAAATTTTGTCGAAGACGACCCTGATATTTTTAACAATTTAATCGTTGTCATGGCTATGTCCAAGTAAGTGTAACCATTTCACAGCAAAGTTTTCGAAATGTTTTACCGTTTTCAATTGACATTCATGATATAAATTTCATCATACCATGGTGACCACTATTGCTTTAATTTATAATCATGAAATACTCTTCGTGTCATGTAGAATTTCTATACTTCATCTGTTAAGAAAGGCGAGGGGTTTCTGCATTCATGTATTTCTAGTTGTAGAATACTACCTACACTGGACCACCACGTTTGAGATATCTTTTTCAGGTAGTTCAGACACAAACCACGACAGCTTATTGTAGAATACTACCTACACTGGACCACCACGTTTGAGATATCTTTTTCAGGTAGTTCAGACACAAACCACGACAACTTATTGTAGAATACTACCTACACTGGACCACCACGTTTGAGATATCTTCTTCAGGTACTTCAGACACAAACCACGACAGTTTATTGTAGAATACTACCTACACTGGACCACCACGTTTGAGATATCTTTTTCAGGTAGTTCAGACACAAACCACGACAGCTTATTGTAGAATACTACCTACACTGGACCACCACGTTTGAGATATCTTTTTCAGGTAGTTCAGACACAAACCACGACAGCTTATTACAATAAGTACTATGCCACCCACACTGGACTTGATATTACAAATACATAATTGTGATAACCACTATTATTATTTATTTAAAAAATTCCTGGTGTCTGATTGGCTAACAGCCAACTGTGAAATTGTCATATCAACTCAATGGCTAACCAAATACGGATTTTTCACATTCATATTAGCAAAATGATGTCAAAGAGTCAATATGAAAAAAAATTTGGATGCGTTTGTGCCATATTACTATGACGACGAGAATCATATTGACTCGCTGACACCATTGATATGATGCAACGACGGCTGCCGAAGGATTAAGGAATTGTTTTTTTCTTAATACAAATAAAATACATATGTTTGTTTTGAATTTTTAAATAAATAATAAAACAATTATTGAATTCGGTTTTCGCACAATATGAAGAATTATCAAGCCCTTAGTTTGCCGTTATCAACCTCAGCCTTCGGCTTCGGTTGATAACGGCAAACTTCGGGCTTGATAATTCTTCATATTGTGCTCAACCTCATTCAATAATTGTTAATTGTCTTACATACCTGAATTAAAACCATGTTTCCAGTTATTAATTTCCATTGCTCAGATTTGCTGTCAATACTTCCAACATTTGCCTAACAAAAACATTTCCAAGAAAATTACGAAAGCAAACAAGGAAAATTATCTAGGAATGAACGACTTTAGTTCATGAAATAAAGTCATTCGTTCATTCATTCATTCAAAAAAATATTCTCTGGTATATTGAGTTTAGTTCAAACTTACAGCAGTTGAAAGTCGAGAAGCGAGTGTCATTTCAAGATTTCCTTTCAAACCAAGAAGTGCAGGGACCAAGATAAAGATCTCGCTAATTTGTTCAAATACATCGTCATGCTAAAAAATAGAATGTGTGCATTATGTTTACTGCATCGAACTTTAACATACTGGATCATTCCAGAAAACATCCATACCGCCCCCACGGAGGAAATTGGAAGTTAAGCCCGCTACCCGCTTCAGATGTCCTAAATACACTTACGATTATCAGAAACAATGTTTTCTCCCCTTTCCTTCTAGACAGCAGAAATACTGCCACTTGCAAGTCAGCCGAGGTCATATGAACAGGCCCTTAGCCAGATTTGTCAGATCTATTTTAATCACACATTCTGAGCTAACCCTCTCCCGTACGTCTGTGAAGCCAGATAAATTCTACTTGTCAACAGTCCCTCGATTGTCAAATAGAGACCATGGGCCTAGCAATAATTCCAATTTTAATTATTGGATATTAACCAATTAAATAAAATGAGTCAACATAAAAAAATTTTCAACTTTTCTCATCGGCGGATTTTACAGAGGTATATTAAATTCATACAATATCATAAATATTTATACCTGTACTTTATCCAATAATAATCCGGCACCAACAGTGCCTAAACCAGCTATGAGAAACGGTATCAAAACTTCAAAAGCTATAGTAAAAGAAGTTTCTTCCTTGGCTTTCGCATCACCAATTTCATTTTCAAAATTTTGTTCAACTAAATGGCCATTTTCAAGCTGATGTTCGTCTGTTTGGGCAAAAGCATCGCCATTTTCAAGATCACTAGCAGATCGGTCCTCTTGGATGACAGTGACCGGTTCATAGCCGCCCGAAACCACACGAATTTTAGGGACCATTTGAACGTCAGGGAGGTGAGCACCGTTCGAATACTGGCCGTTTCGATCGGATTTTTTCCCTTTTCTTTTGGTCAAATTCGCCGTTAAATTCGAGCTGTCATTTCCGTGCTGGTTCGAGTCAAAAGACATGCGTCATTTGATCGCGATCGTGGCTCTTAAAGCGAGGTTTTAATCTATTTCTTCACGGTTCGTGAAGTTTGAACGAACAATATTTGAGCTTTGCTCGAAAGAAATTTACAAATATACAAACACGTCACTTCGGGAGAGTTGCGCCGGCGATGTTTGCGTTGAGGTACTTCGTGTAAAATTTTCGAAATGTGTCCACTGAGCTGCATGTGCAACTGGAGTGGTATCTTCAATTCGTTGACCTCTAAATGTTACTGGATTAATGTCTTCCCTATGCTGATATCTATACATAACTGGAGGAATATCATCAGCTCTCTGATATCTGTACATAACTATATATATATATATATATATATATATATATATATATATATATATATATATATATATATATATATATA